TTGAGAGAAAAAAAAGAGTCTTTGTTTCCATCACGTTGCGTGAAATTGCATAAAAACGAAATCAGTTTCGCCCTCCGGATTCCACTTCAGCTCCAACTTTTCGCACAGGGTACTTGTGTTACATGACGTGACAGCTCAGAGAAATTGCTTGAGGCTATTTGTAAGCAAAAGTGCAATGCCGCCGGACGAGCGTGGGAGTCAAGATTGGTTCTTTGGATAAACACACTCACACATACAGCCGCACAGAAGGAACACATCTTGAGGAGTGCTGTTGTGTGTGGAGGGAAGTGCGCACATAAGCACAACATCCGTCTGCATTCAAAACGAATAACGGATGCGAAAATCGAATTCAAAATCACTAAAACAACAACTAGAAATATAGTGAAATAAGCAATCGATTTCATCAGGAAATGTGGATCATTAAAATATTTATAAGCGAAAAAGTGGAAATCAAATGAAATCGAAGGCACTTAAAGCGAACAGAAATATGCGAATTTATTAATATTGCAAACTTTTTGTTTACATTATCCAACGCCATCGGCACATTCTATACGTTAATAATCGATGATAGCAAAATCAAGTAAGACTGATATGAAAAGACGTTACTGCCGAAGCAGAGCAGATATGGCGCGAGCAGAGATTGCACGTTGAAAGGAAGATAAATGACTGCCACAGATTTGATTGAGTGAACTCTGATTTTTAATTAGCACCAACAAATAAAGCGCTGCGGATTGTGTCTGTTCCGCTAATACGGATATATATTGCGACGCAGCGGATTTCTTTGCCACACATTTTCGCTCATACAAATTCAGCAGTGTGTGACAGCGCTCAAAGGTAAAGCAAATCACTTTGAACTCGCTAAGCAATTGCCCACACACCTGTAATCGATGTGTCACACATTCATCTTACCTGCCATGCTTTGTATAGATTTGTAGCATGCAGCCACGGCCGTGTCACGCGCCATAGAAATGATAAAATGCGGGACAATGGCCATGTCTCATCAATTTCACTTCGATTTCATTTTGTTTGGGAAAGCGTATCTCTTATATGTTGTATTGAATTACATTTACTGCGATCATTGAGTTGTTATGAAATTTATTACTTCCTGCGGCACAATGCATGACAGACTCCGAAGACAACTTATCGAGGGGAAATATTTTGTAACAAAATCAATTTAAGTCCTCTGCATGGATATTTAGTTTCAGCATTATTCTCTCCGAAGTTGTGTACATGTCCGCACAAAAGCAAGTTATAACTGAAAAATCGAAAAAAAAACAAATTTAAGCAACAAAATAGAAATCTTGTGCATGTATGCAAATATGGTATATCATAGAATCGTTGGCAACTTTGTTTAAACCATTTCGAGGAATTTCTTTTTGGCTCTGAGCATACCTTTATATAAAAAATATATAAAAAAACAAAAAAAAACATTGATTTCGGCATTTCTTATAACATTAGAGAGTATAAAAATATTTTTAACTTGATTTTGTGAAGAGAAGGACGCGTGAAAAATTTCAGATCAATATCTCAAACAGTTAGAGACTAGCTTCGTGCATATTCAGAGAGACGGACAGACTGTCCCTCTGTCTATACATCGACTATGCTCGTTACTCTGTTTATTTATATATATATAGGATATACATATATAGGATCTCCAACGTTTCCTTCTGGGTGTTACAAACTTCGTGACAAAATTATTATACCCTGTTCAATGTATAATAAAAATTATGTATAAATGGTTCTAGTCAAAAGAGTAAACTTTGTATTTAATTAAATTTGAGTCGATAAATTACAGTTTCCTTACTCCGCCGTGCAATTGAATTCTCCTTCTGTCCACTTGTAAATTCGCTACTTCTAGCCAGAGATGAGTTTTAAGTATTTGCTTGCACATGTATTCGTATATGTACATGTGCGTTAGTATGCTTCAAGTGTGTACCAGCCCGAGGTGTGCGAGCGCGCCAAAAACGTATGAAATATTTTGTAGCTGCTATAATTTGGATGTGAGTAATGAACTCCAAGGCCAACAAAGAAGGAAAACACTCTTTCAATATTTTATATGAACATCTCTGCATTATTAATATGACAGTTGAAAATCGTTTTGGGTATTGCATTTGCACAAGACAACTTGATGTTCAATATGGTTTTGGCATTAGGGCGGTTCACTTATATCGGTCATGGTCACTGATCCACAATAAACGTAAGGGGCTTTTAAAGTTCTTCCTTTCCTTTCCATCAGTTTACAGCTTAAGTATTCTTTTAAAACAAATGTGATAAGATTGATCTCACTGCCTGCTGAAGCAGTTGAGAATTCGTACTATGCAGAACTTTCAGCTTCACTTATCGACGCGATTGTCGCGCTTTGAAAACAAAGATTTCTGATATAGCAACGAAACTTTGTAAAGGAAAATATATGTTACGCATTCGCCGTGGTGTTCCACCTGTGGGTATTATGCATGGGCATTGGATGTTATTTTAAAAAAATTTAAGTATATTGATTACAATTTACAGAATTTTGTCATATTCGAAAGTGTACTCTTCATATTTTCTAACCAAAACAACGGCTGTGTTGTGGGATGATGCCCACTTTTAATGGTCACCCTATTCCTCAAAACATTAATGGCAAAGTTCAAGTGCTCGCACCATTCAAGAGTCAGATATGTGCTCTTCTACAACTGCATATTTACTGAGCAGGTGAATGTTTGTGTGCGAAAGTACTTGTGCTCGGCTGGAGCGCTTACAAAATTATGACATCGATTTGTTTATGGCACTGTATTTGCTGTCTTCATTTTGTCGTTACTTTTATAACATTTATGCGAAATTCATATGCCACTCAAATGCGGCCGCAGAAGCGAGCGAAGCAGGGCATGTGAAGCCAAGCAATTTCGAAACCGTGTGGGCTGAGCTGGTTCGCTTCAGAATTGTATCTTCAGATGTCATGTTGTTGGCATAAACATTTGAATAAGGTATTTAGCAATTCATATTCGGTGAGACTCAAGGCATGTGATACTGTTATTCGTTAGATAAAGGCAAGCTGCGCGGTCAACATCAATATTGTTAAGAGATAGCATCAAACTGACAGTTTGTCAAAAATTTGTGAGCTAACGGTCAATTATTTAATAAGATTCAATGAAGCTCACAGTTGCGGAGCACAAATCTGTTTACCTTACAAACTTCGTGCTTAAGATATTTATTACTTATATACTTATACTTGTAGTAAGGCAAGTCGACGAGTGTACAATGCAAAATGGATTAATAAATGAATTCCTTGTATAACTGCAAACTGCTCTATATATATATACATATTTACAAAAACATAAGGTCCGTTCATTGAAACTTAGTTTCGGTGAAAATAATTCTTAAGAAAAACAAAATGAAACTAATGGTGGGAGAAACGTATTCAGTATTTTAAAAGAATTTATTATTTTGATAGGACTAGAATTAAATTTTTCTCTTATTTTTACTTTTTGAAAATACTACAGCAACTTTTTGAAAAGCTGGTGTAGATTCTTTGAAAGAGGGATTAAAGGGTTTTGTAATCTTTAATTAAAGGACACATATACAAAAAATATACATTTGAAAGTTACTCTTAGATTCAAAAATATTTTTGAATTTATGTTTAGTTATTTTACAATATACAAAATTCTCTAAGATTTAACTATTTAACAAAGCATTTTCTTTCATGCTCTTCGAATTCAATTCTTTAGAATATCAATCAATATTAGCTCTAGGTTATTCAGAGAGCTATCACACGAAAATCTCACTCGGCAGCAGAAGTCAGCAGCTTTGCGTTTAAAAATATTATTTATTGTCAGTACAAATCCAAAGTATCGCAAATCTGAAGTGCAAAGCTTTAGTTTAGTGCACCGTTTTTGAAAATATATCCTCTATCGTCCGTTACTGCTGCTGTCTCAGCTTGAACACTTTCAATGCCACGCGCACCAACATAAAAACCCATAAATACGAACAAAAAGTTAAACTCTTATTACCAGCTTTCAATATGACACTCCACTTTTCCCACTTGTTTGTCGCTCATTCGCCCATCCACTTAAACGCTGAGCACAATCAAATAAACCCACTTCAAAATCAACCGTAATTCAATTTAGCACGGCAATGCGATTGTTTGTCTACTATGTGAGAGTAATCGCTTCGTTTGTCGTTGCGAGTGCATGCCCTGAGGAAAATGTTAGCTCAGTGGGGAGCATTCGTGATGTAAAAAGTGATCCCTGCTTGGTCTTCCGATATCTCACGTTGCAAGTATAGGCCAACCGGGGTCTCAAAGAGCCCTTTATAGAGCTATTCCTCTAAGGAATTTGCTTATAGTTGTCAGACTGTAGTATAAGTTTTAGGAATTTCGCAATCCTTTGCTGTGATCTTCGATCGCTAATGCCGAATTCGACAGTTATTCCTCTGTGTCACTCAGTGGTGGTAGGCAGAGATAACCAAGGACTCCGTCGTTTAAATTTACTCTACAGTTTTTCTGGATTTATGGATAATTTGTTTAAGGAACATAAACAAACGTGCTTTATTAACGGCATTTGCAACTTTTGACATTCGGTTAGTCAGTAAAGCGGAACACAACGGCAATGAGTGTGTGTATTTTACACCTCGCGGCATTGGCTGATTTCAGTCTGCGCAGAGTTGATCAAATTTAATTCGAAACTTTTAATAGCTTCCTAAAGCCCGGGGCTCGCAAACTCGCCGCGTTTGCTAGCACGTGCGACTGTAAGTTCAATTTTCCTACGGCCAAGTGCGGCGCAAAACAACAGCGCACTGTATACCACCGTCTTATTCAAATACTCGAATCCGTTCGAGAAAAGCGGTGGTGCAGCCCCACACACCGCCGATGGCTAGCGGTTTGTAGGCGAACGCTGGCTGTCGTGTGGCAGATTAAGTTGTATTTGCAGTTGGCATTTATGGAATATATAAATATTTATTTTGCAGCTTGCGTTAAAATGGGCATCGCTGATTTTTAATGCAAATAATCTTCTCTTTACTTTCAGTATCTGATTTCACCGAAACCCTCTCCCATTTATACGAGGAACATGCTACTGCCCTACAATCTTTAGTCTCCAATTTTCGTAAAAAGAATGCAGAACTTCGCAAAGAAAGGTAAATGCTATGGATTATATATTTGAGTAGTTAGTAGAGAATTATAACAAATTATAAACCTTGCGTTTCGAGAGCTCTTAGTCTTGGTAATTATTTGATATTTGGTCTTCACGGAAAAGGATAAGGATGTGTGGTAATGTGTCATAATAAAAATTGGCCAAAATTGTTTATATATGTTGTTGATTTTAGCTTTGGTGTTTTTTCTTCGTATCATTCTATTTGCAGACCCGCTTGCCATCTGGCAATTTTCCAAGCATGGGAAACATTCCTACAGGAGGTCGAAACCGATTCTCAGGCATCAAACGATGTGGCCAGCGTGCTTTCACGTCAGGTGAGTCCCATTAAACATTAGGAAGGCGTAAAGTGAAATTTATCACTACAACTGCTGCTGCCGATGAGATGGCGGTAATAAACAGCCATTGCTTCATTACCGCTAAAATAATATTATCGCTTTGTGTGTGCAGCCGCGCATGTGCCAGTCTTGATGAGTCAGTGTGTTTGTATATTGGTAATGCGCAGTTTTCAGTACTGACTGCAACCGCAGTCGCGCCGGTGAGTTTGTCAAATGCACACACCATGACCACTGACAACTTAATTGACGCTGAGTGATATCAGTATCACAGTTGGACAAATATTTTTATTTAAAGTAATTATTAGAAGCTGGTTTAAAAAAATCGCTTAATACTTTGGTTCAGGCTTCATAAGAAATTCGTCCTTCTCGTTCAAGTTAAATATAATATATATATCGGTGAATGTGTGAGAAATGATATTGCATTTGACCAATTCATGAAAATATGTGAGCTTATTTACTATAAAATAAAATCGTTTGGTCTCAAACGGTGATGAAAAGTCTACACCTCATATCACTTTTATATTGAATACCATACCAGTCAACCATAGGGACATTTTATGAAACACTTAATATCGGTGAGAGTATCTGCTGTTTGACTGCACTCGAACTTACTCGCCCCCTTACTTGTCTCCATATCATTATATCACATTTTGAGAAAGATATCTTTCCCAAATTTGTAGTTATCGTCGTCTTCGAGGATTTATTCCAAGTGAAAAAATTGTTTTACTCATAATGATTTTTAACATTATCGTTAAATTTTATGCAAGTTGTGCCAAACTAAGGCAAGTTGCGTATACGCCATGTCGAACTGGATTATTTATATATTTTTTAATCTGCTGCTCCGAATAAAATACAGAGGGTATGTCTGCAAGTAGCAGCAAAATAGACATCACCGTTTAGACTTTAAATAAGAACTTCTTCTTCTTAAATAAAAACTGCTTCTGTCACACCTTGCCTCGCAGCTGCAATTTCAATTATGTTCAAAAGCAATTATCTCTTCATCCATAAATGAGGCGAAGCAACAATGCGTTTTCTTTAATATTCAAACACCTTCAGCAGACGCTAATTAGTTCTGTTTAAATTTAACTTTCCTTTCTTCTTGCAGGTGTCACGTCCAATGCTCGATAAATCCTTTCATCGTAAAGTTCAAAGTCGGAAAATTTTCACACACAGGGAGTCTTTTGAGACTATTATCGCAAAGACTGAAGAGAAGCTTTCGAAGGTTAGTATAAAAAACAAACAAACAATTGAAAGTGGGTGCATGGAACCAAGTTAAAGTGCGAAAATAGCAACAAGTCAAATAATATAAATTATTAAAGCAGGGAAAAAGAGCGAAAAATCAATAAACAAGAATAAAACATATGCATTCCGCAATGTCCTCATGCGGCGCTGGAATAATCATGAGCGCAATGCATTCGGCATTCGAGCTTATAAATATGCATGTCAGAATGCACAAACACCGATGCATAACAACTCACATACATACTCATGGTGAGATATTTACCTGGATGCAGCGTACGCGTCACTCGCTCATCACGTACTGCAAGAATGCTTCTATTCTTTGGCTCGCCTTCTCCAACTTTGTACTTGCATCTTGAGTTTGTTTAAAAGAAAGAACAAACAAAAAGCTTAAAAACGCCCGAAGCAGACAAGCTGTAAAGGCCTTTCAGAAGAGCTAACTTCCATGTGGATGTGAATATGTCCCCGCTCCTGCCTTTGTCTTTTAGTGTGGAAAGCAGCGCCGCTTAAGATGGCTTAGAGCGCATTTACTGTGGTAGCAGATAGGACCAGGTAGTTCTGGCTTTGGTAAAAAGAAAAGTTGATGGCAAACCCTAATGTTTTAAGCATAAACATGCTAAGAAACAGTGCAATGTAAATGCCGAACTAAACTGATGCAATAAACATTATCAATAAGCGGAACTATTTAAGTTGGAAAGGGTTAAAAAAGAGCGCTAATTATATTCTCCTCCCTTATATAAAACGAAATGGTCCTTTTGCACTGTCCTCCTCAATTTGCCCGATTACATTGTTTGCTCAACCGTTAAATGGAATTTTATGTTGTTTTTGTTGTATTTTTGTGCCCTCTCGTTGCAGTGTCGTTTGGATTACAAACAGTGTTACATGTCGCATCGTCAAAATCCCACACCACTTTCACTCACCGAATACATAGACGCACACAATGCGTACGTGCAACAGTTGCATGCCACCAATGCCATGCTGGAGATCTACCATTGTGAGACGGTGCCGCAGTTAATGCAAGAACTGGAGGAGATACACAATGATTTATGCAGTATTATCGCCGAATCGATACAACAGGGTGCAGATGTCATTGCCAACAAGGTGAGTCGCCGTTAAGAGTTTGTATATGGTATACTTGCATGTCACGGTGTAGGGTTAGGTGGCACTTGAAACCAAGCCATTCACGATTTTAACGGAAAACTTATATTATATATTATAAATTTTTGTATCATTTTTTAACTCGGGTAGTTGGTACTGAGATGGAAGACTCGTTTACAAGACACTAGAATTCCCATAAATTATGCTAATCCAATGTTAAAACCAGAAAAAGTGCAAATTTGGGTTGCTCCGAAGCTATAATATCTTGCAGTTGCATTTTTTATAGTATAAAAGGGTATAAAAAGATTTTTATTTTGATTGTGATCGCTCAGTTTGTATAGCAGCTATATGCTATAGCGGTCTGATCTTAAAAAATTTTCGGAGTTTGTTATGTTGCCTTGGACAATATATACGACTATATAAAATTTCGTGAAAAAATCTTGTTAAAAATAAAATTTCCCATACATGGACTTGAATTTGATCAGTCATGGCAGCTATATGCTATAATGTTCCGATATTGGCAGTTCCCACATATTAGCACTTTATTTAGAAGACTTATTTTATTGAAAGACGTGTGCAAAATTTCTGAGGGCTTAGTTCGGGTATATACAGAGCTTAACATCTTTTGGTGTCACTCCACTGTCGAAGAAATTCAACGTAGCCACTTGTATGAAGCACCACATATCCATGCCGAGTCGTAAGGCCGGCCTAAATGCTTCAGACTGGTATCTTTCCTATTCTTGATATCTAGTCTTTATATATTATTTACTATATACTTAAGTAAGGCTAGGTTATGTCGTAGGCTTGATTCTAATCTATGACGTCTGATCGTTCGTCCTTTGTGTTAATCACAAACTCCTAAAAATGGGTCATTAGAGTTTTATATATTTTTTCTATATCATTTAAATACTGCAATTTTTTCTTGTATGTTTTCCGTTACCATTTTGATTGCTCTAAGTGAGACGAGGGGAGCTGGAATAATGTTAATTATTAACTGTCAAATTGTTAGATGAAATTTGTGAAGATTACTTTCCAACATTTTTTAACCGAAAATGTAATCGTATTCCTAAATGTGATTGGACGTTTTGTATTTGTGGGTGAATTAATATTGTGTAAGAGTCAGCGCTGATTTGCTGCACATAATGGTCATGAATAAATTGTTGGAAGGAACAATTGCGTAACACACACATCCGCACAGAAATTTTTGATTAAAATTAAAACTCGCATGCGGCTTCGGAGGTGGAATACACGCCGTCCACATGTATGCATGTATGCGGGTACGAATAAGTGTGTATGCGTGCCAGTGACTGTGCAACCACAACTGTTGCGTTGCGTGCGTGCATTGGTCTGGTCACGCTCAACACAAAAGGCAGTTTGAACAAGTTAGTGGCTTGAGCGATAACTGGTTGACCATTAATAACAACAATAACAACAATAAGGTCAATTGTAACAATATTATTGTGGCCGCAATAATAAAATGAGAAAACAAACAAACAATGCGCAGTTAAACGGAAACGTTATGAATTCAAATTTAATTAGTACAGTTATTCCAATCCAAGTGCACGCATACACACACATGCAAATATAAATACTTAGGTTTGGGTTATACTATTTTAAATCTCAGCATCATTTTAATTAAATCAACTTTAAGGGAATTCAAGTGAAGCGTTGTCCCTTACTTATGTGCTTTTGAAATTTCGTTGCAGGCATCGGATCAAGCGAAACGCTACGGCTCTCTGACCGCGCAGTGCGGCGCCGTGTCACCGATGCAGGATCTCACGAGCTTCGTACGCATTCTGCCGCCGCTACCCACGCAGGTGCAAAAAGTTCCTAAGCGCATGTTTGCGCCTCCCCAGCTGCCGGCCGAAGTCGAGGATAATGGTGATTTTAATGTGAGCGAATGAAAGAAAATATATTCACTAACTTATTATTAAGACAATCGATTGACAGTTCTCTCTTGAAGTAAAAAATGAACAAAGCCTAAAGAAGAAAAGCCTTAATTGTTGCTCCGAAACATTTTTTATTTATTTATTTCATCTGAATAATAATGGCAATAAGTGTCCGCTTTCAGCTTTTACTTTACCGATTGCTCTTCGGTATTTTGTGTTGCTGCTATATATGCTTATCTATTTGCTTTGGTTTCCATAGGAAATAGCTCCAGTGTTGCGCAACGAGTTGGTCTTCGATCGCCATTCGACGCTGTCGTTGCGTCCAGCCCTGGAATCGTTGAAGCGGGAGGCGCATGAGCTGGAAATGCAAATACGTCTTTTACAGGTATTTGTAACTTTACTACAGTACAAAGAATAACTGAAGTAAACGAGATCTCTCTCTCTCTCTCTCTCTCGCTCTCCTTAAGGATACCGTGGATGGTTTGAATCGCACGCAGCAGCGTGGCATCGAGGGACAATTGTACAACAAGGTCAATGAGCTACAGGAGGAGCTCTCTTTGAAGAAATTTGATTTGCGCGCTAAGCAGTTGCACTTCGCTGCCATCAAAGCACAGGTAAGTGGAAATTTACTCATCAAGTTAAAGATCTTATTAAAAAGGAAAGTTCTTTCAACGAAATATTGCATAAAAAATTGCATGTATGTTGGCAACTCTAAACGGCAACTTGATTTACAAAAACAAACAAACAAACCAATTTTATTTCCAATTGTCTGGGTTGGAATAGAGATTTCTGAGGTTGGTTAAACATTTTTGAATATATAATTTTTTCAAGTTCAACTAGTAAATAGTGATATACTTTAGATAAAGATAAATTGTAGCTAAAACTAATATATTGAATTTACTATTTATTGAATTCTTACAGTCTACAGCTGGTCTAATATATTTTGTTAAAATTTCTTAGATCCATTTTTTCACTGAGTCAACATCGAATTTTGATGTTTTATGGAATCGCACATGGCATTTCTCATATGGCCAGTATTATTTTTGAAGTTGAGCTTTGAAAACGTAAAATCTGTTAGTACTTGTGTTCTAAAAGTTTCGTTATTAGAATACTTATTTTGAGCTTAAATTTTAGTCTGAGCAGAGAATGTAAATGAATTCAAATGAATGAATGAATTCATTAACATTCTCTTGTCTGAGCTTATTTATATATTGGAAAAAAACTTTGATGCTCTGTAAGCTTCGTCAGAAAAATTCAGTCTATATAAGTACAGATAATCTTGTAGCTATGCCCAGTAATGTTATTGCTGTTGTTAGCTTTTAAAGCTTTCTTCAGTTTATTGTAGTATCGACATAAATGTAGCTTCCTATTTTTGTATCCTTTCTGTTGTTAAGTTTCTTGAGAGCTTCTAAAGCGGCCAAGCAGCTTTCGATGGCACCAAAAGCAACAGGTAATTCAAAGTCTTCATGAAGCTTTTTTCTTCATAATAATATTGAAAGCTTCACAAGCTTTCTTAGCAGAATTTTCTGCATGAAGTTCATGCAAATAGAAGTGACATTGACCTACTTATATACTTGTATAGATGAGTATACAAGTGAAAGTCTTTGCTACATGTGCATGGGTTTGTGTAATTCCTTGCGAACAGCTGTCACACTGACATCTGAAACTTCGCAGCTGAGCGTATATCCGACTGCCGCAATGCGCATGTGACCTACTCATCCTTCAGGCGCCGCTTAAATTTTTCGCAGAGTCTTTTCCACTTATCTAGCATTGCTCCAGCTGTCACTCGCGACTCCCGTTAATGTCAGTCAAGTGGCGAACGAACGAACGCGAGGTCGTTTCTGCATTTAGCAATAGCGAAGCGGAGAGCAAAGGAGCGATAAATGCTGCGGATTGAAGACGAATCGAAACAAAAATAAACCAGACGCGTCGCTAAATATCCCAGACAGTGATTGAAGCTAAAGGTGAATTAATATTGATAATCCGAGTGATTCAAGAATAAGTGATTACATGAAACTGAGATAGTTTTGGCGTAAAATCTGGTTAAGGCGGCTTTCTCTATCCACGCTTAACCAGTTTAAGAGTAGTTACAAGCCTTGCGTCTCGAAATATGGTACAAGTATATCAGAAATTCGGAAAGTGTGTTATCCACGCGTGAATCTAAAGTTTTTTCTAATTGAATTTGTAAACAAAAACATATTAGTGTATAATCTGAAATGAAAAAGGAAACAAATAATGGGAATGCACTAGATGAGTGGTGAGCAGTTAAAAATAAAACAGTAATCGACACATTCTCTTCCTCCCACTTCCGCACTTACTCTACTTTGCATGGTGTTTATAAATAGATAGCTGTACACAGCACATGCGAAATTAAAATGAGAATGTGTGGACAAAAGATGTAACTATTGCTAGCAAAGTACAATAGTATAAATTTACGATGAACTTTTTTTCTTAATTTGCACAACTTTGCGAATTTTTCTATTCCCATTTTTAATGGGGTACTAAAAAAATTATTAAGTCATAACGGTAGTGCGAAGGAATGCAAGAAGTGTCAAAGTCGAGTATTAAAAACGCCTGTCAGTTAGTGTAGAGCGTAGTGAAGTGAAATGAGGCGAAGTGAAGCGAAACTGCGAGCATAAATGCCCAAAGAAGAGTTGAGAAAAGAGTGAATGAGCGAGAGCATAACGCACAGCAAGAGAGCACAACAGAGAAAGCGCCTTAGTTGCTGTTACGCTAACAACAAAGCTGGTCGTACTGCGCCGAACAGTATCCCATACAAACACAAAGTGGTATTTGAAGACGGAAAAGCCCGAATTGAAATGCTGTGCTGCAATTTGTAAATCTATTTCGTGTAACTCATCATATAAAAGCGAAAGCCGTTATAGACCGCACAGTCAGTCACGTGCTTCGACAATTCGAGTGTATTTCGAACGGAAAACGGTTAACGGTAAATCGCTACTCGCTTGCGTGCCACACAAGCTGTTGGTCTACGCCTACACTAAAGCCGCCAAACGCCTAAAGCAGAGTCCGTGCATCGGGAGAACTGGTGCTGATACCGTGCGTGTATGGGTGTTTTGTGAATGAAACACTTTCCCGCCGCCTTGCCGTCGTTCTGGCCGCCGAACAAGCTATTGCTTAGCCAATCGTGGCCGTGCGACCAATGCGTGTCGTAGCGTTTGCTCTTCAGTCTGCTTTTAGGCGCGTGTCTTTTTCGAATAATTCGATCAAATCCGTTACTAAGTGTTTGCGGTCAAACAGTGTGTGCCTGCTAAAGCACGAGTGTGCCTTTGAGCATTCTTCTAATTTTTTCTGTAGTTTTGCGAGATGGAAAGTGCAAGCAAAAGTCGCGTGATATTTTCGTGACAAAAAAAAAAATACATTTTGTGTAATGAACATCACACGTGTAAATAAACTTAGTTAGAAAAGTTGTGTTAAAATAGTAGTAGCAAAAAACAAAAACATAAATTAAATTAATTATTTTATGTATGATCCCCAACTTCTATGGTAATTATGAATAAAACAAATGCAAAGCACAATTTTTCAAACAATAAAACGAGTACTCTTGGACAATTGCACATGTAGTTGCAAATTATTTAAGCTCTTAGTACTTATTTGGTTATATGTGTACCGACGGCAGGGGTTTCGCCGATTTCGTCGTCATATTTCAGTGGGCTTACGATTTTAAGCCAACCTGGGAAGACAAATACATTTGACGAGGCGTACTTTCGTGTCCCACTATTGCAAGAAAAATCTGAAAAAAAAATAATTTACTTATGAAATATGTAAGGATGGAGGAAAGGTCAGATTAAATTAATATAGAAGGTTTCTTCCAGCAAAGGTGCACTTTAGGCGCAAATGAAAGGGAGAACTGTCAGTTTATTTTATATATATATATATATATATATATAATATAAGAGGGGTGTTTTACAATTTTTTTGTTATAAATCGGGCTATGAGCTGAGCATAGCTCCTGAATCCTTATAAATTTAATCTACGTACCATTTAGAACTTCCACATATCATTAAATCATTTCTTTGATATTTTTTTTACAACAAGAAAAAAATAATGATATTAGTGATTGTTTAGTGTATTTTTTTAAGTTTCCAATTCCTGAGTGATTCATTAAGTGCAACTTCCAACATATTGCAAAATATAATAAATTATTAATAAACTACAATCTATAAAAAAAAAATAAGTAAGTTGTGATATCATCGGAAAATAGTTAAAAATCCCACTAGCATTTTCGCAGTGGAGCTGAAAAGGTCAAAGTTAAATCTTACGAAATTTATATAGCATTTCCTAACTTATGTAAGTAAAACATTTTTCCACTAGTGAATTTTCTACTCAACTCACAACTACTTCCACCGAAACTCTTTTGCTATCATCACTTCAACTACTTATACTGCGCTTTTCATATGGTACTTGCTAGAAAATATTTCCGCAACGAACTGCAGCCGCTAACTATTCACGCTAAGACTCGCCACTTTTACTGTAAACTAACTGTAGTGACACACGCTAATTCATTTTAATTTTTATTTCGATTTTCATTTATCATTTACTGGCTTACAAACATCCTCACTGATTTTTTGTGTTATTTTAAAGGGTGTCAAAAACTAATCTGTAAAGAAAAAGTTAATCTAGCAGCGCTTCATTGAAGCTCTTAAGCTGTAACCTGATGCTGATGAATGTGTTAAAGCACATAGTCTTTAAATGTGCAATGAGAATATCGAAGTATACAGACAACGTGGAAGACTTACGTTTGGGTCTTTTCGATCTAAAACCTCACTCAGAAGTTTTTTCAATAAAAATGAATAATATTATTTGTGGACAAATCGAAACTTTTGAATTATTTAAAGGTTTAGTGCAAAAGCGCTTAATTTAATTCTTATCACCTGATAGTAGATGACGAAAGACGTAAATCTTCTGCCTGATTCTATTGACTTATTTATAATTTTTAACAGAAAAAAAATCCAAAGAGTTCCAAAGATCTTAACTTCTAGACTGATCATTTTTGGTATATTAATTGCAATTTAAGTCATTTCTTTCAGTTAATGCATATTGCGTCAAACCATATTACCGCAGACCGGAATGTTTATAGGTATACCTTCCCAATTGCTGCGATTCTGCAGAAGACTTCTTACCATTTCAAGCTTATTGTGAGGCTATGTCAAATTGTAAGCTGAGCTTTGAAGAAATTAAATATAATCTCTAATCTCCCTTCTTTGTTTCAAGAACTGCTTGCACCTTTATTTATAAAATGAGGTTCGATTTGTCAAGCACAAGAGTAATGCTTTCTGCACACATAAAAAAGCTTTATTGAAACATTTATGTACATATGGACTTAACTGTATATAAAAAGATAAGTGTAAAAATTCGAATTAATCGCCTAAAATTAAAGATCAATAGAAGAATTGATGAAATTGAAAAAGTGTAAATGTCTATTATATAAATGTATATATGTATGTATTAGCAATGAAAATACCCAAATTAAGTGAAACTGTACAATAAAATTATGAAATTGAAAATTAAAAATTAAATAGAAAAACAAATGGAAAAACACAGCTTAGTTTGACATTTGCCACAATTCTGAGAATTTGCACTTTAAACCGTTATC